GTTAAACTCAACCAGTAACACATCCCTTTCAGTGGCATATTGACTTAGAAAATCACAATTTAACATTATGTTCTATTGTGTTTTTATTTATTTTGTTAAATGTTTCCCAATAACATTTTAATCTTGTTCCAGCTCTCAGAGAGGCAACTTGTTTGACATCTCTGTTCTATAAGAGATAAACCAGATACCATACCCTGTAGGATTTAACCCTTTCAACTCTGGAACTCCCACCTTGGTGACCACGCTGTCTTGATTGATGAGTGCTTCAGTACCAGCCAACCCCCAAACATAATTCACTTGCACCCTAGAGATATTCTTGCCTCCCAGCATATACTCATTTCCTTTCATCTTTGCTTTCCAGTTTTCAAACTATAATCAAATCAATATTGTCACTGCCTATGGTTTCATTCACCATGCTGGCAAATTTTCAAACCAAGCTACTCATTCAAAGTGGTTTCCCTATTAGAATGCAAACTCAGTGAAGGCAAGGACTTTCTTGTTTTTGCATTTCTCTACCCAGTGCTTAACACAATGGTCAGCACACAGTGAGTTTTGGGTACTATTTCACTCTTCCATGCAGGCATCCATTTGTTGTTGGACCTATTCTCAAAACCTTCTAAAGCTTGGAGTCTACTGGTGTTTTTAAAAACCTAGGATCACCTTCATGCCAAGAAAAAATACTGATGTATGGTTTTCATGAAAGAGTCCTTTTACAATGGCTATGGAGGAGATCTTATTCTGAACATTCCTATCTTGAATGATGTCAGGATGTGTGGGGTTAATAAGACAATGGACAAGGGCAATTTTCATACTTTAATCTGCAGTACAAAGGTACCACCTCTTTCTACTTTTACAGCCTATCTATCCAGCTCCCATAATTTTTTTCTCTCGGTTGAAAGCTCCTAAACTGTCAGGTTCTTAAGCCCTGATTTTTCATTTCAGTGCACTATGTGGTCACAGGACATTAGGAAGCTTTACCTTGATCTCTCTGAAATGCCTTCTCTACATGCCGTCCTCTCAAGGGAACACTAACGACTGAGTCTTGTCAGAGAAGGAAAGTGCTCCTTCCTGCCCTTTTAAAAACTAGAGCCAAGCATGCTTTATACTAAAAACAACAGCAGATTTCAAGTTATAAATTTTAACTTTAAATAGCATCTTGATATATCCTTATTGCCAGATACCAACTAGGAAATCCCGGAAAGGATTATGAAACAAAAGTTAGAAGCCTATGAGGTTAGGGATAGGGATGGGCCCTGTGATTTCATTAGTATGGAGAGCTCCAAAGTGAAGAAATTTCCTCCACTATTGTAGGTCAGCACCTTCCCTCCAACTTATAGTCTTAGAGAATTATTGAGAGTTTAAGTGACTTGCCAGAATCACACAGACATTAGAGCAGACTGCCTTGGGTAGGTGAAACATTTACAATATTCTAGTTTTTTTAAAATCCATATGAGTTTATTACCTTCTGATGATTATATTTTGGTACTGATAGATTTAATTCTCAATATAGGCAATTTAATTCTCAATAGGGCAGCTATATGGTGCAGTGGGTAGAGTTCAGGGCCTTAAGTCAGGAAGACCTGAGTTCAAATGTGACCTTAGATGAGACACTTACTAGCTATGTGACCCTGGGCAAGTCACTTAACCCTGTTTGCCTCAGTTTCCTCACCTATAAAATGAACTGGAGAAGAAAATGGCAAACCACTCCAGTATATTTGCCAAGAAAACACTCAGTGGAGTCACAAAGAATCAGATACAACTGACACAACTGAACAATAAATAAACTGGCAGTTCCCAACTTAGAAATATTCAACCTAAGAATAAAGAAAGGATGCTGCCAGAAGTCTTGCCCTGTTACAAGTGTTTTATTTTTTTTTAGCTGCTGACACGGGAGTCCAAATCTAGCCGCACCCTCATTATCTACCAAGGCTGCTCTCACCAAAGGTGCTGCCACCAGAGCCCCTCTTCACCTGACTCAAATTAATTTATCTACTTCCCTGACCCTGGAAGCCTCTTCCAACACTACCTTGGGAGCCAGAGCCAATATTCAGAGGGGTTCAGGGGACTCAAGGTTGAGGAATAAAAAGGGTTTGATATTGAGAGATTAGGTTTAAAGTTTTTGTAGGCTAGTCTGGGAACCTAACCATCACTTATAACCCTGTTTCTATGGGAAACTACATTCCAATCAACCACTTTACTAGAACACAACCCATTCATAAGTTGTGGACTGTCTGTATTATTATGAGAGGAATTGTGTTTTCTGCCTATTTCAAAGAATTCTCTCCTAGAAATTAAAGATCAAATTTGTTGCATAGCTTTCACTCTGGGCTTACATGAAAAGTGAACTTGAATAAATTTTCCCCAAGAAACAAGTTGAAACTATAATTTTAAATATTTTTATTTGTGAATTTACTTTCCACAGCTTCTCCTCCCAACTCTGCTTTTGGATCTCTGCATATATTAGCTGCTTACCCACAGTAGAAAATAGGCATAGAACTCATAGATTTTCAGATGAAAGAAGCTTTCTAAGTGAAAAGCCTGCACATATTATAACTTACAATTCCAAAGAAAGAAACACTGGGCCAAATACTTTTAAATTTAGTGATAATTCTACAATTCTCTGCTGAAATAAAGTTTAATATAATCCATACTTTAATTGATCTTTTTTTGAGTAGGCAGGGAATAGCTTAAAATGGAGACCTCAGCACATGGGGGATTGAAGACATCACAAACAAGAGCTTTAAAGAACTTGAATATGAGTAGAATCTCAACCCAGGAAATAAGTCTGCTTTGCTGACCTATAAGGAATATAGGCCTTAGAAAAAACTGTGGATATTATCCCTGCCTTTTGCCAGGGTAAGCTTATAATAATAATAATAATAATAATAATAACAGCTTTCATTATAAATCACTTTTACATACATTAGATACAATAGCACTGTAAGGCTGAAAGTGCAAGTCTTAATACCCGAATTTCGCAGATGATGAAACTGAAGATCAGAGAGGTCATGGGAACATACATAGACTTTAGAGCTGGAAAGGCCCTTTGAGGTCATTGAGTCCAACTACCTCATTTTACAGATCAGGAAAGTGATTCTCACAGAAGTTAAATTACTTGCTCAAGGGTACGTAGGCAGAAGACCTAGAATTTGAACCTGAGTCCTCAGGAACCAAATTCAAAACACATTCTAATTTACAATGCTGGCTCTTATATGCTAGGATTCACTTGAAGGTCACATAGTTAGCCAGGAGGTAGTCAGGAGTTCTAAATGAAGAATTAGAAAAGACTTTAGTGATGCCCAAATGACTCATTCGAGGCAGCTAGGTGGTACAGTGGATAGAGTACTGGGCCTGGGATCAGGAAGACTCATTTTCCTGAGTTCAAATCTGGCCTCAGACACTTACTAGCTGTGTGTCCCTGGGCAAATAACTTAACCCTGTTTGCCTCAGTTTCCTCATCTGTAAGATGAGCTGGAGAAAGAAATGGCAAACCACATTAGTATTTTGTATTAGTATTTTTGTCAAGAAAACCCCACATAGGGTCACAGAGAGTCGAACATGACAACAACAACAACAACAATAAAATGCCTCATTTTACAAATGAAGAAACTGAGACCCAAAGGTGTTAGGTGACTTTCCCAGAGAAGAGAGGTAGCCAAGATTGGGACTATTATAACATGAGTAGCAATTTTTAGAGCCATCCCTTTTCTGAATGTGATCACATTTCAAACCAACCTATAATGTATTTTGTGAGTTTAGTGTCCATGATATTGGCTTAAAATACAATTACGCTGGGCTGCCATAATTATGTTTTATATAATTTGAGCCTGGTACTCCTGAATTTTAGTATTCAATTTAATTTAATTCAACCAACATTTGTTAAACGCAATTATTTTAATGGCACTATGTTAGGTGCTGGGAACCATAAGAGGTGAAACTGTGGTGCAGAGGAAAGAGATCTACTTGGTATCAAGAGGTTTTAAGTTTAAATCCCAGTTCTTCCATTTACTTTTCTATTGGTATGTCCTTGGGCAAGTCACTTGACCGCAGTTTCCTCGTCTATAAAATGAGAGGGTTGGTCTAGGAGGTTCTAAATTCTCTTCCTGCCCTACCTTCCAGGAGTTTACACTCTACTATGGGAGGAGATACTGTGTAAACACCTACCTTCTACTGTGAATAGGTAAAAGGAGACTCTGAGATCCATAAAACATTTTCACTTGGGACTATACGGGAAGACTTCATGGAGGGGGTTTTACCAGCAGGTTAAATGAGATCTTGGACGTCTCTCATAGGTTTTGAAGAAGTAAATGTTCTGTAAACCTTAAAACACTATGTAAACGTGAGTTAATCTATTCAGTATCAGTCGTTTCTATATTATTTCTGCTAGATAATGGGCTTCAAAGGTCTTTTTTGGTCTAGCCTGGGAACCTAGCCACCACTTTAAGCGTATTTTCCTGGGAAAATGTAAACAAAAGAACTTCGGGACACAGCCTCGGGTCGGAGGCTTCTCCCCCAGGCCGAGCAGAGGGCTCAGCATTTCCAGCGCACCCCGCCCTCCAGCCTCCTCTGCCTCCCTCCCTCCCTCCCTCCCGCACTCGGTGACGTGCCGCAATGGCCTCTATCACACAGGCTCCGGGGGAACATGCGCACTGCCGCCACTTGTTTCTCAGCTAGCCCGAGCTCGCCGCCGCTCTTGTCAGTCTCCGCTGTGCGGGTCAGCGAGCGGACTGCCTGGGCTGCAGTGCCCCCTCGGGAATGTGACTAACCCGCGCCTGGGAGGCTTGGTGGCTTGGCCGTGCGTCTTCCACGCCTCTACCTTTCCTCTTCTCCCTTTCCTTTAGAAAAAAAGAAAGCAAGAAAGAAAAGAAAACCCAGCAAGTTCCATCAGACTGGAGACACACTCCAGAGGCTCGCACCACCGTGCAGCTTCTTTGCAGGCGACGGCGGCGGCACCAGTAGGAGTCGCCGGGAGCTGCTCGGGGTCGCGTGGCGGTCCGGAGGAGCCCCGCAGCCCTAGCCGCTGCTTGCTGCCCCACTGTAGGCTGTGGCTCCGGAACCCGTGCCCCGATCCGAGGCTGCGGACCGCGCCAGCCGCTTTCTTCCACCATCTACACTGCAACCACTGTCTCCTCCTGCGCTCCTGCTCCAGCTTCTGCTCCGACACAGCCGGGCTGGGCTGGAGCCAGGCTCCGCAATCCCAGCTGCCACCCTAGAGCCTAGGCTGGGGCCGCTGCTGCAGCCAAAGGCGTCTGGATCCCAGTAAGTTGAATACAGTTTTTCTGAAGTTGAATAAGGGGGCGGGGGACAGGGGGAGGAGAAACTGAGAGGCAGTGCTGGTTTTGCGTGTGTTTGTTTTTGTGGGGTAGGGGGGAGGGCGGAGGGAATCGTTCTGGGTGCTTAGAAGAATTGGCTTATGGCCCCCCTCTTTCTCTCCGGCAGTGTTTCTGGGTTAACAGCAGCTTGGGGCTGAGGGGTGGAAAGCGAGCCCCTACCTTCAGGCTGCACATAGAAAGGGGGAAGGGTGTCGGGTGACTGGTTGGGGTGGGTGGGTTACTTACTGGGTGACAACCCTTGAATCCCTGACGAAGGCACCAGTTGGAAGCGTGCTCCAAGAGGACAGGTGCTCTGATGGTATTTTGCCTCTTGCTAACCGCACATTACAAACATCTTGAGTATGTGGGTTTGTGTGTGTGTGTGTTTGTCCTAGGCTGATGTTGTGTCTCATGTTAAGTCTGCACTGGAGTTGATTATGCGGGTTTCGGTCAGGCTGGGACTGCAATGGACCCGTGTCTTTTGCGTGAAGGGAGCCAAGAGGAAAAGCTGTTTTTTCCAGGTCACTGGTCTGCATACTCTCTCTCAGCGCTCAGTACTGAGGGCCAGAGGTTGTTAGCGTTTCCAGCATCGAAAACAGATCCCTTTAGGGGGAAAATAGAGATCTACATGCAAATCCAACACTTCACGTTGGAGGTGGTATGGGAAGAAATATTAAAAGAAGCAACTTTGGACACATGTTTTTATGTAACTTTAGGAATGCTGGGGAAATTGACAAAGGGCAAGGATTCAAATTAAGAGGACTCAATGACTTTACCTAGCTGTCATTTTTAATGTAAGGAAAACAGTGAAGTCTCTCTCTGAGCGCGTGCAATAACTCCCTTTCTCACTGCAGTGGCTGCAGCTTTGGGGCTCCCTTCTGTTTGGTTAACATCCAGCTTCATCAGTATTTAATGCAAATGCTGACATACTATAGGAGCCTGCAGTTTGAATCATAGTGCACTTTTCAAATTGAAAAGCCTTCTCTTAATATAATAGCACAGAAGGAAGAGCTGAGTCTATTTTCAAAGCATCGCCAGGAATCAGATGCATAAATCACTTTTGAAAATCGGATAGATACACTGTGTACCCGCCTTCCAAGACTTTTCCTTATGTTTTTTTACAAAAAGTGGAAAACATGCTTGCCACACAGTTGTTGAGCCTGAAAGTTAAGTGTACTGATGGGCCTAATTAACTTAATAAACAGAGAGAATGATTTATAGGTAGCTGAACTCTACTACTTTGAAGGATAGAACTCTTTAACCTTTCTTTCTCATGTGTCCCCCAGAGGATTCCTTTTAAACATAGCAATATATCATTATTGGTGTTTAATTCTTGAATTGATTAAATTTATAAGAGAAGTAGATTTTGAAATTCAGCATTACTGTGAGGCTATTAGACGGTGATTGTTGAAAAAGATTAAAGAAACCGTTTTAGGTTGTATCTGATTTAGAAGCCATTGAAAACACTATGCAGAATTGATCTCATTTCAATGTCAGAATATTTTTCTTAATTTGGACTTAAGATAAAAGGAATTAATTCCATTATAAGCCTATGCACGTGCTAACACACATGACTAAACATTCAAATGAGAAAAAGTACATTTTATTTAAGATATTTTGGTTACACAAAACTCTTGTTCTGAGTTCTGTGTATGCATGTTGTTTAATGGAGTAGATTTTTTTTTTACACCTTAAGGCAAATTATTAATTTTTAATTTTTTTCATAGTTTATTTTTAAAAGTGCTATGGTTAGACCCCAGCAACTTATTTGAAAATATCTTGGTCTCCCTCTTTTAAATATCTACATATTTTAATAGGATATTTTATTAGGATATTTAATAGGATATTTTAATATGTAGGATATTTAATATTACTGGATAGCAAAAACTTACAATTTATGATAGTATAATATATCCTCTTTCAATAAAAAAATTTTATGTGTATCACAGTTCTAGAAAATGTGTTTCTAAATGGGATATGTTATAGGTCTTTGACTGGTAGAGGTAGCAAGAATTGTTGAGCAAATTGTTATTTTTCCTATGTGAGCATAATACTACTGATGTTTTCCCTACCTTTGTAAATACAGCTGAAATGACTTGCTACAGATCCTAAGCCACAAAAATCCATCAAATTTACCCATTTAACTTTTTAAAAAAAATTTTTATATCCTAATGCATCATCTATTTTTTGTGTGTTGCATCACAGTGTAAATTAAGAAATATTTCTCCTTTACATAAAATAACCATTAGTTTGTTTGCATTCCAAAATCTCTTTAAGAATGTATAATTTTCTTGTTATATTTTGCTTAAAAGCCTCCATACTCTAGTAAACTTCATTAAGCAGTCTTCTAGAGATTGAAAATGGGTTGTATGTACACTGATTGTAATGTGTATCTTTTTAATATCTCTAGGACCCTGATATGCAGTTGGGTGGAACAGTGGATTGGGCACTGGGCATGGACTCAGGAAGTTGTTGTTTCAATTGTGTTTGGCTGTGCTGTGACCCTATTTGGGGTTTTCTTGGCAAAGATATTGGATTGGTTTGCTATTTCCTTCTCCAGCACATTTTTACAAATGAAGAACGGAGGCAAACCATTGAGGAAACTGAGGCAAACAGGGTTAAGTGACTTGCCCAGAGTCACACAGCTGGTAAGTGTCTGAGGCTAGATTTGAACTCCAGTCTTCTTGACTCCAGGGCCAGTGCTTTATCCACTGTCCTCATGGTATTCAAGAAAACCTGAGTTCAAATTCAACCTCAGACACTTATTAGCTGTGTTCCCCTGAGCAAGTCACTTAACCTCTGCCTGCCTCAGTTTCCTCAACTATACAATGGGAATAATAATGGCACCTACCTCATAGGGTTGTAAGGATCAGATAAGATATTTGTGAAGCGCTTGGCGTTATAAAAGCTTGTCTCTTCCTTCCACTGAGATATGAGGGACACAGGCAATTGAGTTCATACAAACTCAGCCTTTTCATTAACTAAGATATTCTATAAAATATAATCAAGGCATCCAAGGCCTATGTTTATCCCCATGTTCCTGGAAAAACATGGCCTCTACCTTCAAGGAGCTTACGATCTACTAGTTAAGGGGATAAAAGAAAAGTAAATGTTATCTGGGCAGCTGGGTGGCATAGTGGATATAGTGCTGCTGGGTCTGGAGGCAGAAAGAGTAATTTTCTGTCCCCCCCCTTCCCCACAATATTATTTTATTTTTTCCAATTACATGTAAAAATAGTTTTCATCATTAATAAGATTTTGAGTTTAAAATTTTTCCTCCCTTCCTCCTTCCCTCCCTCTCCAAGACAACAAGCAATCTAAAATAGGGTATACATGTACAATCATATTAAACATATTTCCACAGTGATCATGTTGTGAAAGAAGAATCAGAATGAGGAAAAACCATGAGAAAGAAAAAAAAAAGTGAAAATAGTATGCTTCGATCTGCATTTAGACTCCATAGCTCTTTCTCTGGATGTGGATAGCATTTTCCATCATGAGTCTTTTGGAATTGTCTTAGATCATTATATTGCTGAGAAAAGCTAAGTCTATCATAGTTGATCATCCTACAGTGTTTCTGTTACTGTGTACAATGTTCTCCTGTTTCTGCTCACTTCACTCAGCATCAGTTCATGTAAGTCGTTAAGGTTTTTATGAAATCCATCTGCTCATCATTTCTTGTAGCACAGTAGTATTCCATTACATTCATATACCACAACTTGTTTTAAGCCATTCCCCAATTGATGGGCATCACCTCAATTTCTAATTCTTTGGCACCACAAAAAGAGCTGCTATAAATATTTTTGTACATGTGGGTCATTTCCCCTTTTTTGGGATATCTTTGGGATATAGACCTAGCAATGGTATTACTGGGTCAAAGACCTAGTAGTGGTATTGCAGATCAAAGGGTATGCACAGTTTTATAGTCCTTTGGGCATAGTTCCAAATTGCTCTCCAGAATGGTTGGATCAGTTCACAACTCCACCAGCAATGCATTAGTGGTCCAATTTTCCCACATCTTCTCCAACATTTATCATTTTCCTTTTCTGTCATGTTGGCCAATCTGATAGGTATGAGGTGATATCTCAAGAGTTTTTTTTAATTTGCATTTCTCTAATCAATAGTGATTTAGAGCAATTTTTCATATGACTGTAGATAGCTTTAATTTCTTCATCTGAAAACTGCCTGTTCATATCCTTAGACCATTTATCAATTGGGAGAAAGACTCATTTTCCTGAGTTCAAATCTAGCTTCAGACACTAGTTGTGTGACCCTGGGCAAGTCACTTAATCCTGTTTGCCTCAGTTTCCTCTTCTGTAAAATGAGCTGGAGAAGGAAATGGCAAACTATTCCATTATTTCTGCCAAAACAACACCACCACCACAGATAGGGGTCAAAAACAGTTGGAAACGACTGAAAAAACTTGAACAACAACAAAATAAATGTCATATGCTCTGTTTTGAAAGTGTCTGACCTTTTGAAGGTAGGAGAGGTCGCCTTTAGTGGGTGGAAATCATCAAAGATTTTATGAAGGTAACATTTGACCTGGGCTTTAAGGACTGGCTAAGATTTTGTCAAGCAGAGGCGGGAAAGAGTGTCATGGGTGAAATGAATAGCTTAAATAAAGTGCAGAGATAAGAAAATATAAGGAGTATAATCTAACATGACTGAAGGATAGGATACATATAGGAGAGGACTAGGAAATAAATTATGCAATATAAGTTTGAAGGGCCTTGAATACTTGGCTAAGGAATTAAATGTTTTTATGAAAAAGAATGATCTAATCAGGCCTCTGCTTTAAGAAGAATAATATGGAAACAGTATAGTGGAGAGACCAGTGGAGATTGTTCCAGTAGTCCTGGAGAGATACAATGAGACAATTCCTAGAATGTTGTGACTGGATATGGGTAAGAGAGGTAAAAGTTGACGATTTTGAGTCTGAGTGAC